GCAGCATCATTTCTTAAGAATACTTCATCATCAACCTCAAAATATTTTGGAAGATTGAGATTTCTATTCTTTCTTTCCCTATATTGTTCTTTTGCCATGATGGATTTACAGAAGGCTGTAGCTCTTAACTGTACTAATTGCTGCTGGTGATTGAATACAAATAGTACATTTGTTTCAGGAGAGGTAGTATGCATTGTTACATCAATCAGTGTTCTTGTGCTGGTGCCAAAAAGAAGTTCCTGGGGTGGTAGTCTTGTACTTCCTACAGGTGATTGATTCAAAATGCTTGAATCAAGGGTAGGTTTGCAACCCAGTTATGCTGATTTTCTTCCACCACTAATTTATTGATTTCCTTCCTCACTTCTCTATTTCTTCGTTCAACTAGTCCATTGCTCTGGCTTCTATAAGCTGTTGTTTGGATTTTCTCAATACCTAATACCTTCATAAACTCTTTAAAAGCTTTACCAACAAAGTTTCTTCCTTGATCTGTCAACATTTGTTTTGGAATTCCAAAAATGGGAAAAAATCTGTTGAAAAGAAGGTTTGCAATTTCTTTACTGGTTTGCTGTTTGAGTGCATATAAAACTGTGTATCTACTGAAATGATCCACTATCACAAGTATGAATCTGTATGACTTAACCATGGGTAAGGGTCCCATTATATCCATGGCTACCAACTCCATTGGTGATGCAGGGTGAAAGGTTTCTACCAAAGGGTATACTCTACTCCTACCATTCATTTGTTCACACAAAGTGCAATCCTTTATTGAATTCTCAATCATAATCTTTAATTTTGGGTGCCAAAAGGTCTTTGTAATTATTTGTAATGTCATTCTGGGTCCATGGTGATTGTGAATTTTATTTTTATGGAATTTAGGGAGCAGAGTTAGCATCAAATGGTCAGGTAAAACCAGAATGTTTCTTTCTTCAAGGATAATCCAGATCATTTCCTTGTGAACAAACATCTCCATTATGAAAGGTGTAAAAGTTCCAAAATAAGGAATAGGTAGCTGACCATCCAATGTTAAATATTCTTTAATTGATTTTAAATTCACATCTTTTTCTTGCTCTGACTGTAAGTCAACAGAAGACAAATCAATTTTCTCTTCACTGTTATCACTGGTAGCTACAAAAGTTAATCTGGTGTATGTTCATACTGTTCCATTTTAACTGAAATAGAGGGAGAATTCTCCTTTTTGATCTTTCCATGAATTAGCTCTTCAAATGTTACTTTCCTTGGGGGTGTATATTCTTCTAATCTTGTTAATGCATCTGCTCTATTTTTTCGTCCTGTCACATAGTTAATTGTAAATTTTAAATCCATTAAAGCCATGACCCATTTTGCTGTGCTGACATTCAATTTGTTTTGCTTAAATGTTTGTACTAGACTCTGATGGTCAGTATATAAAAAGAATGGCTTGTCTTGAAGGTAATGTAAAAATTTCTTTACAACCCAGTAAACCCAAATGCTTCCTTTTGATAGGCTGCATATTTCATTTGATTATTGTTGAATTGTTTTGAAGCGTAGGCAATGGGTTTCATTGTTTTCTTCCCATTCTCATCTACATAAACTTGTTCAAGAACTCCTCCTACAGCTACATTCGATGCATCTGTTGTTAAGTGAAAATCTTTAGCAAAATCAGGTAGTTGTAATACAGGAGGGTTAACTACTGCATCTCTCAACTTGAAAAATGATTGCTTGGCTTCCTCAGTCCATTGCAATTTATCCTTTTTCCCATGTAGTTTCATTAACATATACAGAGGTTTAGCTACTCTTGCAAAATCTTGTATAAATTTTCTGTAATAGCCACAAAATGCAACAAAGCTTAGTAGTGAATTTGCAAACACTGGTGGCTGTAAATTATATAATTTATCTGTCTTGGACTTATCTGTTTCAATCCCTTTTCTGATACAATGTGTCCCAAGAATTGAACTTGTTCTTTCAAAAACACACATTTACTTAGTTTAATCTTAAAATTGTACTTTTGAATCTGTTGAAGAATGGTCTCCAATGCTTCCCAATGTTGGTCCAGCGACTTGGTAAATATTATTATGTCATCAAGGTAGTTTAGGCACAAATGCTTTACATCCTTTAGCACAAATGAATTCATTACATAACTAAAATGAGGAGGGGCATTGGTTAATCCAAAAGGCATCTTAATAAATTCAAACAAGCCAAAAGGTGTAATAAATGCTGTTTTAGACCTATCTTCTTTCTTGATGTTAATGTGGTGGTATGCACTTGTCAAATCCATTGTAGAAAAGAATTTATTTCCTCCTCCCAAATGGTCAAAAAGATCATCTTGATTTGGCAGTGGATACTTGTTTTTAACTGTCATTTTGTTTAGTTTTCTATAATCTACACACATTCGTAGACTACCTTCCTTCTTTCTTACGAAAACAATTGGTGAAGCCCAATTGCTCTTGCTTGGTTGAATAACTTTGCTTTTTACCAATTCAGCTATCTGTTGCTTACATTCTTCTTGTTTTTGAGGAGGCATTCTATATGGCCTTTGTCTATATGGTGTTGAACCTGGTTCAAGAGTTATTTCCAAGGGTGGTACCTCTGGATTGCCAATATCAAATCTGTCTTCTGCAATAGTTTCTTTATATTTTGCCAGAATTTGGGTAACTTTGTTCTTCATCTCGGATTTTCTTGTTCAATTGTTGTCTGAAGGGTATGTATTTGACTCTCATTCTTTTCATAATAAGAGGAACTGGGTAAAACCCTTTGAAAGATAAGTGTTGTGTTCCAACAGGGTAATTTCTTTTCTGTACCTGGCTGGAGTATAATCTGTCTCTTGCCAAAGTCAAGGGTAGCTCCATTTTGTTGTAGAAAGTCACACCCAATAATACATTGTTGTGTAATGATTTTGTTGATCAGAAAGCGTTGTTTAATAATCTTTTCATTAAAATAAAGTCTGAGAATGATTTCTCCACATATCTCGATGCTATTTCCTGAAGCATCTCTAGCATTTTTCACAGTTTGTTCTGGGAAGGATGCTTTTCCTTGAACTTGTCTTAATACCTTTTTTGAAATGAAAGATCTGTCACTACCAGAGTCTATCAAGGCATCAAACTTAAAACCAGTATTAGTTTCAAATTGTCCAATAAATGTTGAAGCATTTCGCTCAGATTGTTTGCTTTGTAACAGCTGACAAGTGGATTCGTCACTATCTGAAAAACAGAGAATATCTTGAACTTCGTCGTTTTCTGACATGCTTTCATTGTCTAATGTTTCTAATTTTTGTAGCTTAGGTTCCTCTTTCAGTATCGTCTTTGCTGGTTGATTTTTCTTATAATACCTATTTGTTGTAGTTGGTGCATACTTTTGGACTTTTTGGCTTGAAAACTTTTCTTTAGTAGCATTTTTGTTGTCAGGTACATGCTTTCTATTCCAGAAATTTGGGGTTTCTGTAGAAGCATCTTTTCTGATTACCTGGGTCTTTTTGGTCTCTTTTCTTTGTTGAGTTTCCAATTTTGACACCATTGTGATCGGTTTTCTTTGAGTTAGTTTTAATGAAGTTTCTGCTTGCTTAGCAGCCTCATATAGTTCTGCCAATGTTTGACATTTAGGATGTAAGGTGTACACTAAATGTAGAATATCCTGTTGTAATCCTCTTTGTAAAACTTCCATCAGTTTTATTTCTTTCATAGTTGCAAGCAATTGTGGTTCCATTGGTCTAGGTGGAGAAAACCTCTTTATCAATTTCTTTGCTCTATTAACAAACTGAACCACACTTTCGCCATTCATTTGCTTTAAGTTAAGCAATTTCTCCTGATACTCCAAAGGATCTAGATCAAATTCGTCATGGAGGGCTTTCCATATTTCCTCCACAGTAGGCTCTCCATCCAGAGCCAACACCAAATCCTTTGCAGGACCAGTTAAATAATCTAAAAGATTTGCTTTCACAACATCTTCTCCTATCCAACCATAAGCATAACATGCCTGATTAAAGTCTTCTTTGAATTTTGAACACTCCTTGCTTCCATCATACAACTTGAGAATAGTTCTTTGAGGGCGGTCCCAAGCAGCCCTTAATGCTTGAATTACTGTTGTGATATCAACATTTGGGTTCTGTGCTGGGTGATGTGTTCCATCTCCATGATCTGTTGGAATTGTGATTCGATTTCTTTTCATTTCACTCACCAATCTATCATAGTCTTCAATTAGTCTTTGTTGCCTTTCTGACATTCCTGCTGGCTGAATTGTAATTGTTGGAGTTGCTGGGGTTGAAGGGTTAGAGTCTGTAACTGCCCCAGTGGCGTTTCCATTTCCTCCTTCTGCCATATTTACTTTCTCAAAACTTTTGAATAAACCAAAAGAATATCCTGTCGACTGCGCCAAATTTGTACTGCTCTTGCTGGCAAAATCTATGCGTTTGCAAGTTATAACAATACTGGTTCTACTCGAACCTTTAAACAAATGTTTAAATTAAAATGGTTTATTCGCAATAATAATACTTAAGCAAGTAACAATATGAGAGTTCAATAGCAGAGTAGATAGTTTGTAATAGCAGGTTGCCAAATTACCAAACTGTCTTCCAATGTTGAGGAGTAGATGGAAGGTTCCAGTGGAGGTTGTTTCCAGATGATTTTCCCAGGTCCTTGGGTCCAGATGGAAGCTGCATGCCAAATGAGAATAATGAGGATTTATATACTTTGAGGTTTGTCTCTGACATCCAATCATCACTTTACAGTTGCCGAAATGTGTAGTTCATATTTATCTTTAGTAACAGGATGTTACAAGGTTCAACATTTAGGAAGGTTAATTGAATTATAACTTGGCCACACCCTAGGCAAGTTAATTAAATTATAACTTGGCCAAACCTTTATTGGTAATTAAAGATGAGCCTTCAAGCTGACTAATCAGACTTATGTTTGGCCAATGTTATAGCATTTTCTTGCGTAGGTTTTAAGATGTACATGTATATGTTGCATAAAATAATAGAGTTCAAGCATGTAAAATATAACCAAAGTTGTACAACATGCCTGTAAATTTTAAGGACCCTTTGGGGGCCATTTCATATCTTCTAATAACAAGGGAATTATTGGTCTCTCTAAAGAATCTGATAAGGACACTTCCCTTTTGCAATTCTTACTTAAAGCGTATTTTCTAGTTACACAATTCAATATCACTTTTGATCTTCTAATTCCACTATCAATTTTTTCATACAATGAATCACCTCCACCCATTTCCATGATATCCAACCAACAATTGTATCCAATTCCTTTCAACTTTTTATATAATTCTTTAATTTCAGCTTGCTTACTCCATTGATAACTGAGATATATTTCAGGTTTTTCATATGTTCTGTCATCAACACAACTAGTTTTAACACCATTAATAGAAGAAATAGCTGTTTTTACTACTTTAGCAGCATCCAATCGTTTAATGTCTTTCAAAATTTCGCATAAAATATTTGTTGCTTGTTCTGAATTCTTTTCAGCAAACCAATCATTAAGCATTACAAGACATGGATCTGCTTTTGAAGCAAAATTTTGAATTTCATCAACAGAGTATTGTAGCTTTACTGCAAGTAATCTCCAATCATTATCACTCTGATCAAGCAGTGGTTCAGAGACATGGTGAGCCCAAGAAGGCGCATGAAATAAAGTCAATTCTGAAAGTTTATCAACCCTTTTATTGAGATTGTCTAATTTATACTCAATTTTTGTAACTAATTTTTGCATGCTTATCATATCTTGATGATTTTGGTCAAGTCTTGTGTTATTTTCAAATGGCGGGTTGCTATCATTTTGCTGACTAGTTGAAAAAACTCCAGCCAGATTGTTTGATGTTGCAAACTGTTGTTGAGCGAATATACTACAATTCATTTTAAAAACTTTCCAACACAAAAATATCTTTTTTAAAGCTGTCTGAAGAAAATAGAAACAATTCAAATAGTATCCTTTACATCAAAAGCAATTGTTCTTAAATATATTATATGTTGAATAAATTTTCCAAAAGATTTAACATCATATTTTCATAACTTATAGTAAGACTTGTATAATTTTTCCAAAAAACTTAAAATGTACTTTATAAGTGACATTATCAAATGTCAGCAATTCAATTTCCTCTCTAGTATCTGAGCAAATGTCATACTATTCATCTTCACCACTTGAGCAGTCAGCTTTAAATTCCTCCATTTGAACTATTGGTATACATTTTTCTTTCAATTCGTCTCTCAATTCGTCTTTCAATTTGCAAGATGATAGTATCAAATCTTTCAGGCAATTGGAAGAAAATGACTTACCTTTTAGACTAAGTTTACTTAAATCATTTTTTGAATAGTCTAAACTTTCAATAATAATAAAGTTCTTTGGAAATAAATGACCTGTAAGGTCACAATTGCGTAATGTAATTGAAAAATCCTTATCAGTTTTTGATTTGATATAACTCAACAAGTTTGTAACTGTTTTCTCATTTAAATTGATATTATTGATTGTAATATTTCTTAAATTTTTACAACTGCCAAAAATTTCTGGTAATGTTTCAATTTGATAACCACAATTAACTATCTTATCTAATTTGATAGATAAAAGTCTATCTTTTCTCATATTAACCAATTTGCAAATAGGCCTTTGAAAAATGATAAATTGTTATCATCTTTAATGTACATCTTATTCAATTTACATTGTTTTTTATTCTATTTTGTACCTTACCAGAGAATTTGCTATAAGATAAATTTAATTTGATAATATTCTTAAGATATTTAAAAAAGACAACATTTTTAGATGTAAATGTTAAACATCAATCTTCTAATTTCAGTTTTTCTAATGACTGATTATTCTCTAATTTCTGATAATAATTTTCAATCTCTTCTTTTTTTTTGCTAAAATTCATGTTTTTTAGGCAAAGTTTATTGAGCTTGTTAAAAGTGAGTAATATCTCGGGAATTATGGAAAATGATAATTGACAATGTACTCCATTATCAATATGCAAATCTTGAAGACAATCTTTAATTGATAATTTTGTAATTTGAAAAATCCCTTGAAAATTGAATTTTACATTTTTCAGCGATAATTTTGTAATTTGTCTTCCTAAAGTTGAAACAATAACCTTCCAAGCAGTTGTTGTTAATGAGCCACCATTTTGTACCAATGTTTTTGTTTTTCTCTTGACAACTTTGTGTTGAGTATCATTTAAATTTTCCATTAATTCTAAATGTTGGAGAATTCTAAAAACTCTCAAAATTTTTGATTGATGAATATTTTTCCTGATTAAATCGCCAAGTTCAATAGCATTTTTATTAAAATGAGGCTTTGAATCCTTATTTAAATCTCCATTTTTCATTCTCTGAAAATATGTAACAATATATTCTGCTAAAAAATAATCTTCAAATAAGTGATTAACAAATTTTAAACTTTGGTTTAATTCTTCAACCTTTCTGGCAATATTGCTGCTGATACACTTGTTCCATCAAATGTTACCTTCACATGATTATTTTGATTTTTGAATAATTGTTCAATATATTTTCAAGTTTTATACATTCAAGGTCACATAAACAGAACATTGCAGGATCACTGTGTTTTAGGCTATCTGATCCATTCCCCAGTATCTTGACTACCTCAAATTTAGGGTAATTTTTTTACCAAATGTCCTATTTTTGTACATTCAACACGAATTATAATAGAAATGATCAAAATCTATATGTTATATAAAGGAATTCCATCACAAATTTCTAAGAATCCAGCTCCCATATGAAGAAGAAAACTTCCACAAAAGGTTAAAGTTCAGGGTTGGGATTTATTGAGTTGGGAAAATGAAAATTCCATTATTTTGAGATTGTGCTGGGAATAAACTTACAAATGAGACTTTGTAGTTTATATAAAACTTTTATTAAAGGATAGGTTAAACAGTTAAATTAAAGAGTGAGCTAGTTGACGTTTTCTTCAGCACATAGAGGAAATGAATTTTCAAAGAAGGAATTTTTTAAGATATTTTCAATTGACTTTTGAATCATCTAGTTGAAAAAATTTCGCCTTTTTTATGGGTTTAAAGTGTTGTATACAACTTGTGTATACAAGTATTTCTTTTATATTTTCTAATTACATAATGTATAAATGAGATTTTATAGATTGAATCTTAAATTTCTATCATTTTTCTTTGTAACTTTGTATATAGAACCAAAAAAAGCTTTAAATAATGCACTTTGTTGTATTGTAATTGTAGGTATTTCTGCTTCTTCAGAACAGTATTCGTCCTTTCCAATCATTTATCAACTCACCAAAGTACTCACACCAATAGTATCTTCCAAGTTTGTCCACAAATAGTCTTAATAAATGTACTTTTAATAGAAATTAATCAACAAAATGCTAGTATTTCGTTTAAAGAATTGAACTAACAAGCTGGGGAAATGCATTTCCTTTTATACATTTCCCAGATTTGGGTTCAATTGCTCAAATATAATGTTCAGATTAGGCCCATGTGGCCAACATGTGCCACTGTAAACTAAAGCTATTTCCTACATAATAGAGTTCTTTCTAAAGTACTAAAAGTGAACCCTATGAAATAGAAGTATATCTATAGTTGCACCATTCTAATTCCTATAATATAGAAGTCTTTCTAATGTACCTTTATATTTAAAGTCTTAATATTGATGTATTATTATATCTAGGTGCATATACATGAAAAATTTTTATCATATTACTCATGGCTCTTGTATGGCTAAACTGAATTATAAGATTATGAAAATCTTTAAACACAGGTACTATTTTTTTCCAATTATTCTTGACCAGAGTTTCAACAATTTCAAATATCCTTTCGCTTGATTCTATTTGTGTTTGGTAACTAAAGTTCATCTTGTAATTAAACTCTTCTATACAGTGAGTCTCTACGAGGGCTCTGGCAACTTTTGTGAAATAGTAATGATCTGAAAAGCTGTAATGGAGGTCATATCTCCCATCATCATTTGGATTTAATTTCGTTGTCCAATATGTTCCATATAATTTAGTTATATTCTTTAGTTGATTTTTAACAAAAGATATAATGTCTTCAGTCCTCTCTCCATTGGCTATCATTTTATGAAACTTTTCATATCCATCTAATACTTTAACCCAAACTTCCATAGATTCATTGAAATCATTAGTCAGGTTTCCTGTACCAATTTTAATAATAGTATTAATGAAACCTCCATAATAAAAATAATCAAAAGAACCAGTATAACCAAAAAAATTTGATTGAAAATCTTCTTCTGAAGATTCTATCAAGATGCATAAAAATTTTGCAATCCATATAGAAAAAGTGAAATGAGAAATCTTAGTTTGCATATTCTTTTCCAAGATGGGATATATGGTTTTGGAAAGTATATATCTATTCTTATTAAAAAATTGCAATACATTTCCTATAATTTCATGTTTGCTTGCATCACACTTCTCAGCTGGTGCTTTTATTAGTTCAATTATACCAATTTCTTCAAGATCTCTATAGATATTCCAAAAAATTTTACTTAGTTTTAAAATATTTACAGACACTCTTTCATTAAGCACAAAATATTGAAGTCCTTCAATGAAATAACTCAATTTGCAATTCTTCAACAAGCCCAGATTAATGAGTAACTGACAATTGTTGTCAACCCAAATAAAATTTTTAGCCAATTCAGTATTCCTTGATTTAGCCATTCTAAAATCATTAGGAACCAGTTGATAGAAAACATCAACATATTTTAACCAGTTTTCACCATAACTATTTAATATATCATCAAGAAATTTTTTAATTTCAAATATTTGAATTTTGATTGGCCATTCTAAAATTATGTTTGTTTTATTTATGAATGTTACTAATTTTTCACAAATTTCTATAGTATTTAAAAAGAAATTAGAGGAATGAAGAAATGGGGAAATTGATCTTTCATAATGTTCAATATATTGTCTTGAAATTCCCAAATACATTGCCAAATTATTATTAAATTCAGTTTTATCTTTTGAATAAAGTATATGGCACATGTTATTCTTGAACAATTCAATTTCTGATATAGCATTCATGAAAAATGAATAACTCTTCAGAGGAATTAGTGTCTTTATTAATTGTTTGTTTTTAATGAAAGAGTTAACAAATTTATCAATAATTTTATCATAAGAACATTCTGGAAGAGTAAACACATTGTTTAAATAGAAGAATTCAATGATTTCAAAACCAGCTTTGTATGATTGTAATATTTTGCTAATTTCATCATCTGATTTTGTTCTTACTAAATTCAGAGCATCAATTAGCAGATACTGATCCAGTTTGACATTAGAATTGTCAGTGACATTAAAATATTTTGCTGAATGATTGGAATGAATGAGAAGACAAATAGTTGATTAAATTACTAATATATAGTACCTATAACTTCTGAAATAGCTCCTTTAGAATTGTCATTAAACTTCCATAAATTTAATGATCTAAACAAATGATTAATTAAACGCAAAGATTCTCTATCATTCCACCATTTTGGACCATATTTTAAAGACATTTCATTCATTACTTGAGTAAATTTCTTTATAAATTCGGATTTTCTTGACACATTTTCATCAATGATATTTTCACAAATATATTTCAATAATCCATTCAAATATTTAAATGCTGAATGAAATTTACCATCTTCCAGATAAGGTCTCAAATATTTATACACTCTTCTAATTAAATATGCAATTTCATTGACAGATTTAATATCTTTTAAAATGGTTTCAGACAA